ATGAACAAGTGGCTTCAGGAATTCACAAGTGGATGATTCACCTGGTAAATTTATCTCTGCATTTTGATTTGAACACCTTGAAATACCCTCTCAGAACCTGGATTTTTCTCTTTTCTGATTTTCTAACCATTCATTTTCCTAGTATTACAAGAGGGTTAAATGTCATTTTCTCCAGCATTCATATGCAGCTCAGATAAACCTCTGAAAGAGCCAACTATTAGCAATAAACCCCCCCTTTTTCACCACTATTTCTAAAATAGTTTACATTTTAAAATAAGCTTCATCAAAGTTTTGTGAAATCATGCAAGATAGGAATGAGACTTCCTTAGTGATTTATAATGATAGTAGTTTGAATCAGTTCTGGCCCATCCATGCAGTCAGATATAATAATAGAGGACCTTTTCTCTTTTCTCAAAGTTTCAAAAAACAAATTTAAAAGTTGATATAATGAAAATCAGATACATTAATTTATTCTAATCAGTCTGTCAAAAAGTATTTAGTATTTTCTATGTACCAGACACTATGCTAAGCACATTAGAGAAAAAACATGCAGACAAGTGTAGAGGGGATGGTTGACACCAAGAAACACCTCTTCCAAAAGGTGGGATATGGGCAATCTTGAGGGAAGCCCAGGAAGTGGGACTAAAGAATTAAAGCCTTCCAGGTACAAGAGCTAGCCATTGCAAAGCCATGAAGTGCTGTGTTTGAAGAACTGTCTGTGTTACTATATTGTAGACTATGGAGAGGGCAATGAGGTATTTGAATCTGGAAGTAAGGGGGAGCTTCTGGAATTTAACAGAGGGGTGACATGGTCAGACCTGTGGAAAAATCGCTTTGACAGCTGAGTGGAGGCTGGACTGGTTTGAAGAGAGTCTAGAGACAGGGAGACCAATCAGAAGGCTATTGTAATAGAATACGCAGAGGTTAACAGCTTGCAGCAGGCTGGTGACGGAAAAGGAAGAGATGGGGACGTGTGTGAAAGTACAGACAATGTGACTTGGCAACAGATCTTATCTGTAGGATGAGTGCAAGTGAGGCAAGGATGACACTGAGGTTACAAGGTGGCCAGAAGGATGCTGGTACCCACCACAGTAATAGGGAAGTTTGGAAGACAGGAGGGTTTGGGAGGAAGGACAGTGAGTTCTATTTTGAATATGATGAGTTTGAGATTCTGTAGGCTGTCTCATTATAGTTGAAGATATGACACCAGAAGTCAGGAGAGAGGTTAGGGCTAGATAAGTTGATAGGAGAATCATCTGCAGAAAGTTGATTATTTAACCCTTGGTAGCGGATGAGATCACCGAGTGAGGTAGTATAAAGGGAGAGAAGGAGAGGGCCCACAAGTGAACCTTGGAGTACACCCAGAATTAGAGCACGTTACCTAGAGGAAAATTCAGAAAAGAGAATGAGGAATAATGGTTAGACAAATAGAAGAACCAGGAGAGGGCAGTGTCAGGAAAACCTCAAGAGAAGGGAATATTCAGAAGGGGGTGATCAACAGTGTCAAAGATGAGATGTTGATTGCCTACTGTTCAATCATATTTCAGTTGTATCCAACTTTTTGTGACCCCATTTAGGGGTTTTCTTGACAAAGATACTGAAGCAGTTTGCCATTTCCTTCTCCATCTCATTTTATAGATAAGGAACTGAGGCAAACAGGGTTAAATGACTTGCCCAGGGTTACACAGTTAGTAAGTGTCTGAATCCAGATTTAAACTCAGGAAGATAAGTTTTCCTGACTTCAGGCCCAGCACTCTATCCACAGCGCCACCTAGCTGCCCAAGAATTAGTCAGTTTTTAATTATCTGTGGTTAAATAAAGTCTATTAATGAAATTAAACCACTAGTTTTAAACAGTGGTTTCAATCTCTCCCTTCAAATTTTGCCAAGAATCGCAATGGATTGTTTTGAATTTCATCTCTATTAATTTTACCTGTTTATCTGCTATAAACTTTACCTAGCTATGGTATATTACAAGAAATCACAGATAGGACTGGTCATTTCAGTGCTTTGAATCCCACCATTACTTGAAGAATCCAGTATTTTAAAATTAGCAAATGTATGTAGTTACACAAAACTCTGGAACCACAGAATCCGAGAGTTGAAAGAGATGTCAGTGCCATCTAGTCCAGACTCTCTGCCCAAAAAGGAATTCCCTTATGTAATCAAGTAGTCATCCAACCTCTTAGTGAAGACATTCAAGATGGGAAAACCTGCAGTGTCTTGAGGCAGCCTTTTTCACTATTGAACAATTCAAGTGAACAAATGTCAAAAAGGTCCTCCTGACTCGAAGCCCATGTAAACTTCTTTACATCTCCCACTAGATGTTCCCTTTGGGACAAACAGAACACATCTAATCCCTCCTCCACATGGCAGCCCTTCAAATGAATGATTATCTTTTATATCCACTGGCAGTAACTTAAGAAGTATAATAATCATGGGTGCTGGTATTGCAAGATACTGGAGTGGTTTTGCCGATTTCTTCTCTAGCTATTTGGCAGATGAAGAAACTGAGGCAAACAGGGTGAAGTGACTTGCCCAGGGTATATAGCTAATAAGTGTCTGAGGCCAGATTTGAAGTCAAGACTTCTTGACTACCAGTGCTCTATCCACTACACCACCTGGCTGCCCCTGTAATCGTAGGTAGGAAAATAATTATAAGTAATAGTAATGGCCTGATTAAAAGATAAATTACCTCAAAAATTATTTCCATAAGTGGTGTTATAAAATATATTTAATTTCCTTATTGGTTTTATAATTATTAAGTTATTTATTATTAATTAAAATATTATTACTTTTTTATTGAAAGAATAGTGTATATAATAATCAACCACTGAACCTATTAGTTAATAACCTTAGATCATTCACTCAATGAGCAGATGAAATACATAAGTAGCCATTTGAATACTTACGACAAAAACCACATTGGTGAATATAAGACAAAAGTCTGCCCAAGTGATTATATTTTCCCTGGTCTTATTCATTTAGTAGTTTTGGCTGGAGAACTTTCTAAGTAATGTCAAAAAAAATTGCTTCTCCCTTGAATCATAAATATGATGGTTTGTTAGTGGCAAATAAAAGGTGAATAAAGTAACTTTTGTGGAAAATCTTCATAGATAAAACTTTATCCATATACTTGATATATTTTTTTACTTTAAAATAAAAATGCTGTGTAGATTTTAATATTATTTAGAAGATGTGAAAAGTATAAGTGATAAAAATTGTCAGTAAATTATTTTTGTCTTATTTTAAAAGATGATTTCCAAATACAATATTGTTAAGTATGTATTTATTAAAGAAGTAGTAGACTTTAACATGTAATGAAATGTTTTTTCTTTTATAACAAGCCAAAATTAATTTTTAAGGAACTCTGTACTATATGCTCACGTCAACATTCAGTGGTTCTCTTGTACTATGCCCAGTGTGACTAGAATTATTTCATTTAATAATTCAGAAATATTTCTATATCTGTGAAAAAGGTTATTTTCCTTTTTTTTTTTCTTTAAGTCATCTACGTTGTGTCCTTTAAAAAACTTGTGACCTGTGGACATAATATGTCTTTCCCTACCCTATTCCCTCCAGAGTCCTTCTATAAAAACACTTTAGATATTCCTGTTCCTTACTACTGTTTACTAAGTACTGATGTCTCAATACTTCAACAAAAGATGATACACTTGAAATGTCCATTTTTATTGACCTTTTAAGGTACAACAAATATTTTTAATCTGTTTATGTGTGTATGTATTAATATTGGTTCAACATTATTCTTTTGAAAATAGCTGTTTTAATGAAGCAAGCAAAAGTTTTAATTAAAAAATATTGAAGTGTAGGTTACAATTTGATGAAAAAAATCAGCTTCTTTAAAAAAACACACATGCAATAGTATTAAGTCATCTATCTATGACATGTAAATTATGGAAAATATAGGAAGGGCTTTTATGGATGACTCTTTAGAAGATTAGTATAACATGTTTTAGTGGATTGTCTATGAAATTATATTTGTAATTATTCAAAGCAACTTTTCATTTTAAAATATGAAATCAGTATTCATCAATAAGTATTTATTAAGATAAGAAAGAGTATGTAGTCAAACCTCATTAATTCTGAGTATTTAAGGTAGGCCAGTTTGAATTAGTGAAACCTGTTAGCCTAACTTTCCTAAAAATATTTCCCCCAATAATCTAATTAAATAAATGGAAAAAGAAAAAAAATCAGGAAACAGTTAAAAATTTTAAATAATTTATGTGAAACTATTTTAGGACCTAACAAATGTTAGGAAAAATGTGCTATCTTCTGATTCATAATGGTTAGTTATATAATATTTGATAAAATACAAAACTTCAAATGTACAACCCTTTACTACCTCACTAAAATCTGTCTACTAATTGGAAAAATTTGAGGATAGGGCATATGTGCAGGGGGCATAAGACAGACATTTTGTAACAAGTCAAAAGGAAAGAATGTATGTTAAAATTTCATAAGACATGCAATATTCCTTCATAATCATTTTAAGTGTTAAAGTTGAACAACATACTTCACTTACAAATGAGCAACTTTTCATAAGTTTGCCTATACTCATCAGGGTTTTTTTTGTCTATACATACAGCCGCTTACCTGCTGGGGGAAAAAACACCAATTATGCTGTGTTCTTTAAAGAATTAAGTTGTGTCATATCCAAATACCTGTAGTAACTTGAATTGCTAACAAAACTCTGCAAAATAAAGGTGCCTTATCATCTATTCTAAAATTAAAATTTACTTGAAATTGGCAACCATTTCATAATGTGTAAAGTCCTTTAAGACATGTCCTTTGAATAAGTCAAAGTAGCTTGCTCTTTTTCCAAAGAGCCAAAATAACCTTGTTGTCGTCATTACAAAGTGATGAGTTCACATTTATGAGATTTTACTGTATTGGATTATTAGAAATGGTTCTCATTTGTAACCATCATGGTGCATTCTCCTTTAACAGTCATAGTTAATTTTGGTTGCTTTTGTATTTTAGGAGGTTCAGGACCATCATCATCCATAGCCATAGCTGGCACCAACCAACCTGCCATCACAAAGACAACATCTGTTCTTCAAGATGGTGTTATAGTTACCACTGCCGCAGGAAACCCACTGCAGAGTCAGCTGCCCATTGGGAGTGATTTTCCTTTTGTTGGCCAGGAGCATGCACTTCATTTTCCACAAAACAGCCCTTCGAACAACAATCTTCCGCACCCTTTGAACCCCAGCCTCCTCAGTTCTCTACCTATCTCTCTTCCAGTGAATCAACAGCATCTTCTAAACCAGAATCTATTAAATATCCTGCAGCCTTCAGCAGGAGAAGGCAAGTCTGAGGTCAACCTCAACCCTTTAGGTTTTCTCAACCCGAATGTAAACGCTGCTTTAGCTTTTCTCTCCGCTGACGTGGACGGGCAGGTATTGCAACCTGTTCATTTTCAGCTGTTAGCCGCCCTGCTTCAGAACCAAGCCCAAGCAGCTGCCATGCTTCCCCTGCCATCTTTCAATTTGACCATCTCAGATCTGTTGCAACAGCAAAATAACCCTTTACCCTCATTAACACAGATGACAACCCCACCAGACCATTTGCCAAGCAGTCAGTCAGACAGCAACAGAGCTGAGACCCTTTTAACCAACCCCTTGGGGAACCCTTTACCAAGCTTTTCAGGCAGTGACACTACTTCTAACCCCCTGCTCCTCCCTGCTGTCACTGGGGCCTCAGGATTAATGGCCTTGAATCCCCAGCTGTTGGGAGGTGTCCTGAACTCGGCATCGGGCAACACTGCTAATCATCCAGAGGTTTCCATAGCAACCTCCTCCCAGGCAACCACTACCACAACCACTACATCATCAGCAGTGGCAGCACTGACTGTCTCAACACTTGGTGGGACAGCAGTGGTGTCAATGGCAGAAACATTGCTGAACATATCTAATAATGCTGGGAATACACCTGGTCCAACTAAACTCAACAGTAATTCTGTGGTGCCACAGCTACTTAACCCTCTACTGGGGACAGGTCTGCTTGGTAAGTTAAATGTTTTCACAGATGTTTACAAAAGAGATTTTTTTTTAATTCTACTTTTTCCTTTTTGAAAACTCCATTTTGTCACACTAGTGTAAGTCATGCTTTTGTTTTGTCACAGATAGCTCACAGACTAAAAACTAAAACACACAAGTGTAATTGTGCACATTTTAAAATGACTTTTTCCCCCTCCCTAATTCCAGCTATATTTAAATACCATTTTTAATTTGTTTTCTTTTGTCCAGTAATTCTAATACCACCTAAATATAATACTCACGTGATTCAATACTCAGATAACTATTGTTTTCAAATAAGACACAGGTGCATTTTAACAACCAGCCTTTAATTTTACTTGTATTCATTGTGGCATCACAGGGTTGGTACGAGTCCTGCACTTTAGACTGGGACAGTTTGAAGGCATGTTTGTCCAAAGGAACCTAAAATAAGTAAAATTTAAGTCTACAGCCTGTAAAATCACATATAAAGCACTTAAAGTACAAACTTGCACAAGTTCAAAGTAACTAACTGCCCCAGTAGATGTTGCCACTGGCTTTCCTCAGACATTTTTGTTTTTCATGACTTCATGATGTTTTTAAAAAAAATTATTCATGTAGGTACATCCCTTCACGAAAAAGAAGTGTTAGCAGATAGATTCAGACATGCATTTTGCATTTAATTAGAGTAATCTGTTTTTGACATTGAAATCAGATTCATAGAGTCTACTTGTTGAATGAGCTAAAAAGCATTACAGGGTCAATGTTTTTTTAAGATTGGATCTCCCTACCTCATCCAAAGTAGAAGTCACATTATTGATCAGCGTGGGAGCTTTGATCTGTTCCATTTCCAACGCACTACTGGCCCCTCTCTCCAACCTATCACCCTCAGTCTTCCCAGTAGCTAGGCTTATAAGCATATGCTACCAAGATCAGCTGAAATCAGTGTTTCAAGCTATAGGAAAAATCCTAAAACCTTGACCTCAGAATCACTGTGTATGCGTCAATTCAAATTAGGTTAATTTAGGGTATTAAAAGTAAGTTTAATAATAGATTTACAGTTTCATGAGCAGTCATCTTTTTTAGTATAGTACTCTATGGAAATGCTTGTTTTATTCCACAAATGAAAAATTAATAAATTAATTTTTTAAAAAAGTAAATGTACTTACTAAGTTATCCCCACCTGATTATATAATAATTAATTTTAAATATATAATCATAAGGAAAAGTTTTTTTTTTCCTACTAACTCACTTTAAAGTATTTTTAGGCAATAACTTTTTTACTTTTCCTACCCAAATGCAGTTCTAAATTGTTTAATTTTGTTTTGCCATCAACTAAAGATTGGGGTTTTACCAATGAACTTGATAAGTAAAAAATATTGCACAGGTGCATTTTCAAGTGGGGACAAATTGACATGGAGCTTAATGTTTTCATAGTTCAATTGACATGCAGCTTAATGTTTTCATAGTTTCTAAAAGCTTTTAAATACAACATCAAAAATTTTAAGGAATTTTTTTAAATAGTTTTTATAAAACAATCCCTCCAAATTTTTACAGGTTTTGATCAAATGAAAGATTAAAAGCAAGGGTGATCAGAAGTGGTGCCTATAAGATGTGAATAACATGTGCAGTTATCCCTTATATCTTTCTGAGAGTTGAGAGAGGGGGAAAAAAAAAGATTACCTGTGTAATTCCAGCATTTAGTATTTGATTCAGGAATGGCTCTGGTCACAAACATAAGCTTAAGAACTTTTCCATAAATCATGTTGACTTACATTTTTGTGTTTTTGAAACTACAGGTGACATGTCGTCAATAAACAATACTTTGAATAACCATCAACTGACTCATCTACAGTCACTATTAAACAGCAATCAAATGTTTCCTTCAAATCAGCAACAGCAGCAACTTCTCCACGGGTACCAGAATCTTCAAACGTTTCAAGGACAGCCCACAATTCCTGGTCCAGGCAACAGCTCAAATCCTATGGCTTGTCTTTTTCAAAACTTTCAGGTACTTTCTAGTTATTTTCCTGATATTTGATAACAGTAGTACAGGTGTGGGGGGGAGAGGGTGGGGAACCATAGTAGTAGTAGTAATAGTGGTAGCAGTAGTAAAATTTGTTAACCCATATTTTATAGGGTTTTTCAGATTATAAAATCCTTTCCTTATAACAGCCCTGAAAATAGGCTGTACGCATTTTATGTTCCTCATTTTACCAAGCCAAAAACTGAAATTCAGAATGGTTAAATAATTTGCTCAAAGTCTAGTGAATATCAGAGCTAGGTCTTGAACTTCAAGCCCTGTAGTCTAAACTAGACTGTGCTGCCTTTCCTTCCTAGATAATTATAATAAGAAACAATGTCTGTGATTAAACATTTAAGTGTATTGCTTCCTTTTATTAGAATTATTTTTGTAATCTTCTGAGACCTGTTAGTAACTGTAATAAGATGCTGATATGCCATTATAAAGTATGCTAATAAAGAAATATTTGTGATCAAAGTGGATAATGTTAGCGTTAGGAAAAGTAAAATCAAAATATTTGGAAACATTTAATAAAATGAAGAATTGGGTTGTAAATAAAAAGAAGCCACTCAAAATCACAGCTTATAAATATTTCAACTTCTTTTCTGTGTTGGGGAAGAGGACAGGAAATCTAAATTCACAGAGGAATATCCATAATGGGTTTTTATAAAGGTGGAAAAATGTCTTGTCCTTAACCCTCCCTCCTTCCCTCACCTCCCAACAGCCTTAAGTATAGGCCATTGTGTAGCCCTAAACACAGTTGTGAATCTGGCCTGCCTTCACCCCAAAGGTAAGTAGGAGAAGCAGTCCACTGACTGGTCTCCAAATTCTGCATTAAGTAGTTCTCTACACCAACTAGTGTAGAGTGTAGTACACAACTTAGATGTGTTGCCCATAAGGCAAAATAGGAAAACTTAATTGTTTTAGGTTCCAGGGAGCATCAGCTTTAGGGGAAAAGTTAGAATGAATAGAAAAGTTTTATCTTAAATGATAGAAAGGTTTTGTATTAATTGGATTATTAGTTTTTTTCCTAAGTTTGTAAAATCAGGTCTTTGATTTGATTTTTTTAATAAATATTTTTAAAGTTATCTTCTCTTATGCTTTCCTTATAACTTCTTAACTTAGAAATTGATGACAATAGATCAGTGGTAATACAGGTTCGCTAACACTTCTTTAAAACTTGTCAGCTCTGTTACAGAACAGTTAGGAAAATTGTAAAGAGCATTTCACGTTATTTCTATCTAAAAACTTCAGAACTGCAAATGATATAACATTTCACTGTTTAATAAAAAATGATCTAGCATTTATTTATTCTAGAATAACTAGACATTTTAATGAATTAACATTTGCTTCAAATTGCCTGGTCCCCTTTTGAATCTGAACAATGCTGACTACTTTGTGTTCTTTCCCTCTTAAAACCATTGATCAAAAAGTACATGACGGTGTTTTTAGAGCAATCACTTATAAACATTTTGTATTCATTTCCCTCAAAGTTGATTGCTATACAGCTGTTAGTAGGAATTAAAACATTAACATTCCTTATAATAAAAAACCCTGACCTTTCTTACTGTAATAATAAAATATTATCTTACACCTTTCTGTGTTGTCATTTTTTCATTTTTTTGAATCTCCTTATTATCTCTGTGTTTCCTTCATTTTTCATCCTTATTATCAGTTAAAATGTGAAAATGTAATTTCTCTCAGTGAGGACCCTAGTGTTTCTCTCTCACTGTTTCTTTTGTACATTTGTTTAAGGTGAGAATGCAGGAAGATGCAGCTCTCCTGAATAAAAGAATGAGCACTCAAAGTGGTCTGACAGCACTTCCTGAGAATTCTAACACTACACTTCCTCCTTTCCAAGATACAGCCTGTGAGTTGCAACAGAGGACTGAGCCAACACTGGGACAACAGGCAAAGGCTAGCCTCAATGTGGCTAGTCAGGGTGATGCTTCAGTAGATGCAATTTACAAAGCAGTTGTAGATGCTGCAAGCAAAGGAATGCAAGTTGTCATCACCACTGCAGTCAGCAGTACAACTCAGATGAGCCCAATTCCAGCTCTGAGTGCCATGAGTGCCTTCACTGCCTCAATTGGTGACCCATTAAATCTCTCTAGTGCTGTCAGTGCAGTAATTCATGGAAGAAACATTACTGGTGCAGATCACGACAATAGGCTAAGGAATGTAAGAGGGGCTCGCCTCCCAAAAAATCTGGAACATGGGAAGAATGCAAGCGAGGGAGATGGATTTGAGTATTTCAAATTGGCAGGTTGCAACACACCTAAAAAACTGTGGGAAGGAGAGCAGAGTCCTGGTGGAGAGATAAACAGATGGAAGTGTGAGGAATTTTTAGATCACTCAACCCATATCCACAGTAGTCCCTGTCATGAAAGGCCCAATAATGTCTCCACACTGCCATTACTTCCAGGAGAACAGCATCCAATTCTGTTACCACAAAGAAACTGTCAAGGGGATAAAATGTTGGAGGAAAATTTCAGGTATAACAACTACAAAAGAACTATGATGAGTTTTAAGGAGAGACTGGAGAACACTGTGGAAAGATGTGCACATATTAATGGAAACAGGCCCCAACAGAGCAGAGGGTTTGGAGAATTGCTGAGTGCTTCAAAGCAAGACCTAGTCATGGAGGAGCAATCTCCAAGTTCGTCAAATAGCCTGGAAAGTTCTCTAGTTAAAGACTATATCCATTTTAATGGAGATTTTAATGCCAAAAGCATTAATGGGTGTGTGCCTAGCCCTTCAGACGCTAAAAGCATTAGTAGTGAAGATGACCTAAGGAACCCAGAGTCCCCTTCTTCAAATGAGTTAATACATTATAGACCAAGGACGTTTAATGTTGGTGACTTGGTCTGGGGCCAAATCAAAGGACTAACTTCATGGCCTGGCAAATTAGTACGAGAAGAAGAAGTTCACAGTTCATGTCAACAAAACACTGAGGAAGGGAAGGTATATCAATCTATGTTATACTTATTTTCAATGCCAGATTGTTTATCAATCAATTTTTGCTTGATGTCACTTTTATGATTGGCTTTATAGTGGTTGAATTGTGTTTCTTCTTAACTCATTGCTGTCCCACAAAATTGGAGTATAAATGAAGAGGTGATTGTAGTTACCAAAATGACAGTGAGTGTCATTTTAATAAATAATGTCTGTAGAGCTGAGGAGGTTCAAGGGGCCTCCTATCTGGGATCCTAATTACTAAGTTGTTGCAAAGTATGCCCACTTCTTCTACATCCTCCCAACCCTGGGTGTCATGCAAAGAGACTAGAGGAAAAGTAGGTTTTAATGGTAGTAAATGGCAAAAAGGATTGAGCAGCTGTTGGAGGCCCAAAAGTATTCTGGCCCCCCCCAGTTTCATAAGGTGGTCAACTTTATTGCCAATTGAGAGTGCCTCTACATTTTTTTCCAGCTTAACATTAGAGCAACAGAGAGGAGTTAAATAACATCATTATTATATACTGGAGGTATTTTCTATGTTCTGAATGATGTCTCTTTATAGGAAAAATCCTAGCCCTTTCTAACATATGGAAGTATTTAGGGTTGTAGTCTGGTTCTGATTAACTCAACTCAATCCCATAAATTAAATAAAACTCCTTCCTGAAACTACTGTTCAGTTTAGAAAAAATTAGTATGAGACCTCAGACCTTTTTTCCCACATGTGAAAGCATTGACTCAATTTGTAAAGTTTAAAAAGAAGCTTAAAAACTGGTAGAAAAATGCATTTCTAACTAGAAACAGATAATGGTACAGGTGCCACATGTATGGTGGGAAAATATGTAATTTTTGGTCTCTAAATCTTGCAAGAAGTTCTTATGGAGATGAAAACAGTTTGTATTATATCTTTTCCTTATTTCATAGTATAAAACTGATTCAATCTAGCTCAGACTTATGATTCACTTAGATTTGGTGACAGGAAACCAAAAATGCTTCATCCTCACGATAAGAAGTCTGTCTTTCTCCAAAATCCTGACAAATAGTTGAATGTTTTGTATGTAATACCTAATTAATATACACCTATAAGGACATCATGTCATAATGATGACTCTGGCTTTGGTAAAGGAGATAATTCAGCATCTCTTCTATTTGCAAAACATGTTATTCTCCAATCCCTCTGAGACCAGAGACATCTATTCTTTCATTTGATAAACCCAAACATTTTTATTCTCCAATCTGTACAGTAAATAATTAGAGGCAACTAAAAAGGGCTTTTGTCATACAAATAGAACCACTACATACAAAAGATTTAGAACAGAACATTTTGCTGATGTATGATAAGTCTTTCGTATACATGTATGACTTCAGAAAAAAAAATAATTAAAGAAATATTGGAGCATTTGCTGTCCCCTTGAAATCCATTCTTTCAGTTATAGATGTGTAATTTAAATAATGTTCTTTCTTCTCCACAAAATAAACATTTTAATTATTTCACAGCATACATTGGCCCTAGCCCACAGATTGACTTGCATTTACCAACTTATAGCCAGATTTCAACTCTATGCAGGTGTTAAGGGAAATGAACCTTTCAAGGATATAATCTATTAAACTAAAAAAGAAAAAAATCAGTTGATAAATGGTGTTCTATAAATGGCATCAGGTTAGTGAGCAACTATTACTAACTCATTCTATACTAACACTAGGATAATATTGCCTTCATTATATACTTGAATAACTAATTACTACAATATTGTCATTTTTTTTGTAACAAATACATTCCTGAAAAAAAAAAGTGTTAACTATAGTATTTATAGATATTTAAAATTCCTTTAATTTACATTAAATTTTTGAGACCAATTCCCAAGGAAAAACTTTTTGTCCCAATATGATAAAAAAATATAGCAAACATTTTTAAAGCACTTACTTAGAGGCAACTGGTGGCACAGGAGATCGAGTGGTAAGCCTGGAATCGGGAAGTCCTGAGTACAGATCCAGCCTCAGCCACTTACTAATTGTGTGATCCTTGGCAAATCACTTAACCTCTGTTTGTCTCAGTCTCTAAAGACATAAAATGTGGATAATAATAGCACCTCCCTCCCAGGGTTTTTGTGAGAATCAAATGAGATAATATATATTTAAAAATCGCCTAATACTGCCTGGCAAATAGTAGGCTATATATAAATACTTATTCTCTTCCCTTCCCTGCCATTTAAAAGAAAATTGTAAGTTTATTCCAAATATTCATAATTTAAATAAAATATTTTGCCATTATTAAAAGAGCAGGATGAAGCACTTTACAGTGCTCAAAGGTACCATGCTTTTTAAAAATAATATATTCGCTAGCATTCTCCTCACTTTTGCAGGTTAAAAAAAAGTGTTACACCCCAAACAGCATGGAATAAATTTACTTCATTTTGTCTTTGAACTTATAACCATTGCTGCTTCCTATAAAATCAGTACTAAAAAACGCTTACCTCCAAACTTGCCAGTTGTCACTTCCCACTTTTTGCCAGAAGTAAGTAAAGTGATCCCTATTGAGGTTAACAATAACCCTCTTCAAAGTTCCTCTAACTAGGTCTAAAAACTTTTAAAGCAATAAACCTCAGCAGTCATGAGAATGATAATAGTTAGGAATAAAATGCTCTATTATAAAGTACCCCAAAACTTCTCACTCATGACTTTAAGTGTGTAAATACTGGTCTAGAGAGAAAAATCTAAGGAATCCTTTTATAGTGGGATATCATTTTATTATGTACCTGTTTCTGTGTTTTTATGACCAGATACATCCAATATTCTCATTCCACTGGTTAACAGGTATTTCTTGAATTCTTAAAATTTACTGAGATCTTTATTAGGTGTTGTAGGAATTTTCATTTCCAAGTCTTCAACCCATGTTAATATTGCTTTGCGATGAGATACAATTACAATCAGACTAGAAATCTTAAATAGCAGTTGTGTTCACAAGTCCCTGTCATAATCAGAAGGCCTGACTTCTAGTCTTAGCATCACAAATTTTACAGGATGTATAACTGAAACGGTATTTCATTTTGGTAAGATGTATATATTACTTAAATACCTGTATAGTGTTAAATATTCTTAAAGTTTAACATGTATTTTTAAGTGTTATGTAGGAATAGCTTAGGGTTCTTTGAAAAAAAATTTAGTTGGTAACATTGAAATATTGTGTTGAGGCTTTATGAAAAACTCTTATAAGGCTAGAGTGAAGAAAATTATAAAGGACTATGAATTAAGAATAACTTTTTTCCCATCTGAACTTGTGATTTCTTTTCAATCTCCTTCTTTCCAGCAATACAGATATGTAACTTCATATCTTAGAGAATTGCCTAGGGTACTAAGAGGTTGAGTTTTGCCTCTAGTCATGCAGTTAGGTTTGTTCAAAGTAGTACTTGTACTCTTCTGTGTCTTTCTGATTCGAAGGTTCTTGCTGTGCCGCACTGACCTTAAGAATCACTCAGACTCCATGTGCTGTTATCCCTATCAGGCTCTCATATAGCTGAAGCACCATATAAATGTTAGCTAATTATTATTTCCTGAAACCTACAAAAAGAGAGTGAGAGAAGGAGAAAGCTATATCCATGAGTCTTCCAAATACCACTGAATAGAACAAATATGTTTTAATAATTAAAATTGCTTGTTGATACCTGAAGAGCATTACAACTACTCTCTCTCATTATTTCTCCATGTTTTCAAATTATATTTGGTAGTTTCAGATCTGTCTAAGTCTTCTTTGCTTGCTCCCAGATACTGAGATCACTGTACTGCATTATGGACAATGTTAGATTTTAATGTTTAATGTGGTAGAATCATTGTTTTCCTGCACATTGAGCTTTTAGAATTTGCCATGTTTCTTAGGCCATAGGATTTTAAAGTATCACTTTATCATGTTTTACTATTAAAGTGTATTTATTGTACAACAAAATCCATAACCTACTAATGTTAAATTTGTGATGGTTTGACATTTGCTTTTGCAGTATCTTAATGAAGGAAGGGTTTGTCTAAGTAATTTAGGCATAAAAAGATTATAGAGCATATATTTAACCTAAGTGAGTTAAGAATAAACTGTTTTTAAGAATTTCAGCCCATTATACAAGTTGGGAGAATGGATTACAACTGTATCTTCCATATTCATATGATACTCTTCTTGGAAATAATCATAGCAGTTGTTTTAATTTGCTAAGTACATTTAAGAGATGTTTTAAATGAATTTCTTTTAATATATTCTAAAATCAAATTTTCTGTTAATTCAGATTGACCTTCCCCATATTCATTTTGAATTACTGGAGTTTTACTATATTCGTATTTATTTATATAAAGCATCATTAGCTAATTGAAACCTCATTGGTTGTAACTTGACACCACAGAATTGTAGAATTTGAGAGCTTCTTTTACAAAGGAGAGGGGTAAGGCCTAAACAGGGGAGTGACTCTCATACAGTCAATGGCCAAGCCAACCTAGAACCCAGGTGTTTTGATTCCCAGGCATTTTGATTCCCAGGCCATTGCTCCTACAACTACCCTAGATTGCATTTCACTGATTCTTTACTAAAAAGTTTTTCTCTTTAGTTTTGGGCTTGTGACCAACTGCTTACTGGGAACAACTTGCTACTTACTCTAAAATGGACACATTAGGTGGCAGATCTGTTTTCTCAGACCTTTATGCTACTTTACAGACAAGAGTTATTTATAAAAGCCAAGATTAGGGCCTACATCTTGCTAGCATATAGAATCATGGGCAGGTGTATACAATTTCAGACTTTGATAAAGATACTCAGTAATAGTTGGAAGAAAAAGTTTTTTCATTTCTGGTACATGGTACGTGTAATATCCTATATGTCTGCTTTAGGACAAAATAATGGATAAAACCCTGTTATTTTTATGTAATTCATACAGTTCATTATAATACCTATTCTCACTTTCCTGAAAAAAAAAATTTCTTATGCTCAGCCCCCACCTTGGGACCCTTCAAGCTACATTATTTAACGTTAAAAGATT